TATGCTATCAATTAAAAAAGTAGATTTTACATTGACTTTGAAAAATAAATGCGGTTACGACCAGTGCCGCTCATCCTCTACCACACATTTCGGATATGTTAGATAAATTATGCGACAGAAAAATCGTTCTTTCATTGATCTTAAAAACGTATACTGGCGGATCTAATTGGAAGAGAATTCAAAAGAAAAAAACCGCTTTTGCGTTTCAGGAGCGAGAGCTGTTTCGATTTACTCGTATGCCTTTCGCGTTACACAATGCTCCCTGAAAATTGCAAAGGTTTGCTGGTACAAATTAGCAACGGATTTAGATCTCTACGTATTGTTATTGCAACGCCACATAAAAATGCGATCAATCATTCGTCATTATCGTTCAATGGGATCAAGCATAGGGAATACGGACAACAATCGAAATCAGTACACTCTTTAAGAAATTTTAAAAGAAAAAGAATCTTTCTACCATGCCTATGCTATCAATTAAAAAGTAGATTTTACATTGACTTCGAAAACTAAATGCGGTTACGACCAGAGCCGCTGATCCTCTACCGCACATTTCGGAAATGTTAGATAAATTATGCGACAGAAAAGCCGTTCTTGCATTGATCTTAAAAGCGTATACTGGCGGATCTAATTGGAAGAGAATTCAAAAGAAACAAACTGCTTTTGCGTTTCAGGAGCTAGAGCTGTTTCGATTTACTCGTATGCCTTTCGCGTTACACAATGCTCCCTGAAAATGGCAAAGGTTTGCTGGTACAAATCAGAAACGCATTTAGATCTCTACGTATTGTTATTGCAACGCCACGTCAAAATGTGTCATTAGTACATCATCGTTCAATGGGATCAAGCATAGGGAATATGGGCAACAATCGAAATCAGTACGCTCTTTAAGAAATCTTAAAAGAAAAGGAATCTTTCTAACATGCCTCTGGCACAACCAGTCCAAGCGAGCATCACAGTCACTTTGCTTAGAACCGGACATCTCACGCCAAGCCGAGCTGTGACAGAATGTTTAAACATAATTACTTTAGCGTGCGAATCTTTGAACAAGGGAATATTTCAAGTGATCATCTTTCATTAGATTCAACAGACGGCATTTTTCTGGTTAGTAATACGGGAAACGGAAACAAGGCGTAACATGATATTTTATTGGCTTTAAGCGCGCCCTCTACGTAGTGTGATGTGGAACTTCAGGAACATTATTTCTCATAAATTAAATACTAGTGATGACAACACAATGCCAGAGGTACAAATGAATTCTGTAACGCTCCACATTTGGTATTTTCGGACTTTGTGCTGTATGCATAATGAATTCATACGTAAACTACATCTAGTCAATACCAACCTGTACGTAAATGCTTCAATTTACATTCGGTCTGTTATCCGTTTTACATTACGAATGATTATTGATTTCTGCGTTGCAACAAGTCGCAATTTAATGATAGTAAAAGCGCGGTGGTAGTAACGCCAACGGTGCTTAAACCTAATTTAGGGATTTTCATAAATTCGCTTCGAATGGCCCTCCGAAAGCGGTCAGGTGGTTTCATTTGCGTCGGAATAATAATATAACCATAACTAATGGGGTAGATGAGCTCGGAGCAAAGGCGCCTTGTCCGACATACAAAGGTTAAACTTATACCTACTCGGTAAACAGTTGATTTCCGTGGAAAAAGTTTATCGACGAAAGTTACCAAAGTGCCTGGGGCATTTTCGAACGATAATGGAAGGAGGATTATTTTCGTTATTACTAAGTAACTGAAAATTATGTATACTTTGTTTCAAGGGTGCTGAACCTTTCGTCACACTATCTGACGTCATATCAAAATTAAGGCAGGTCGTAAATTAGTAGTTGGTTTACATATTGTTACATTGACGTTTCAACTTATTTATTAAGGTGTCACTATCGTTCATTATTATCAGACCGTCCAAGTTGACAATCACTTGTAAGGCATCTGGTCCTGATAGGTTTTTTCCTGTCCCCAGGTTTTATAATGGCTAAATGGTCATGTATTTTATGTAGAGGAACTCCGTTGGTATGAATTAATAAACTCGAGATTAAACTTTTTCCCCCGTTTGTAATCACCTCATGTAACCGATTCTTTGCACCGACGACAGTCGAAATGGATACTGCCAGAGCATCAGAAACTCTTTGAGATGAAGTGTATGATGGTTACAGAAAACGCATAGGAACATTTGTAACTTAAAGTTTGTTTAGGCAGTTCGTAAATTAATATTTCGTTTACCTAATGTTGATGTGAAATTAAGCATGCTACCAATGTGAAGAATACGCGTTAAGTTGCGCGAATTTTAATGACCCTTAACTAGCGATTTGCAGAAGTAGAATAGGCCATGGTTTATCGGTAAGCCTTTCGCATTTATATATCTTACAAATTTGAGATAAAGCGTAGGCATTATACCACAGGCTCATTGAAATAACAACGCATACATACAGTTTCTGTTCTTTTGCCACACCCTCGAGATATTCGCATAAGGATCTTGAATATCTACTGTTCCGATTTATTAAAAAAAAAACGCAATTGTGAGAGAAAACAGGTAGTGAAGATATTTATTCCTGAAAAAACTCTCAAATGTTCATATTCAAATCGTATGTACAAAAGAAAAAAACGCACTACACCACAAGTAGGTATATATGTATAAACGGCCCAAAATAATATTCTTAAACACGCTGATTCTCTTCTGCCTCATGAATATAATCATCATAATAATCTTCGTCACTATCAAATTCGTCCAAGTTGACAATCACCGGTAAGATGTCTAATGTATCAATATGTTGTTCCCGTTCCTAGGCCTGGTTTATAATGCTTCTGTATGATCAAAATATCTTTTCCATTTTTCCGGTGTAACCTAAACAATAAAGTTATTAAGTACTATTGTTTCACAAAACAGCATATAAAGAGGTTACTTTGTGCAGTGCCTCATTCCATAAAGACAAAACGGCACTGTGTGTGACAGGCTGAATTGAACCGATCCTTGCATCGTAATGCCGTTTGCATTCTGACCATACCATTTCGATTGGATTATACTCGCAGTGATATGGAGGAAGTCTCAAAACACGATGACCATGTTGTAATGCTAATTCGTTCAATCTGTAAAAATCAACATGGAGTGAAAAAAAACCATAACAATCAGCTTCCTATCCAAAGGTCTACCTAACTGCAACCAAACATTTAATTATCAGCGATGCCTACCTAAATAGTTTTGGTGGTATATGATTTTTCACTACTTCCCAGATCTGATCTTGCATCATTGTTGGTGCAAATGTAATGTCTCGTGATGTTAGCCACTTTATAAGTGACATTTTTGTCCAACATTGATTTGGACTTTTTTCTACCAATCCTGAATGGTAAGAAGCGTTGTCCATAATTATAAGAGAAGGTTCATCCAAGTTCGGGATCAATTGTTGTTCAAACCGCTTCTCAAAGTTAAGGCAATTCATGGAGTCATGATAGTCTCCGGACTTGCTACCAGATTTAAAAATTAGACTTGCGTTTGGTACAAATCCATCTTCTGATCCTGCATGGAGTATTATATACCTGACCCCTTCACCACTTTTTTTTCTAACTGTTTTGAGAGTACCATCTTGCCAGCTTCTTCTAAAAGACCCTTTACTGTATATCCAGGTTTCGTCTAAAACCACCGGTCGTAATGGAAAGAGTGAAGTTTCGTTGTGTTTAAAGTCTCTCAAAAATTGTAGTCTTCTTTGAGCTACATAGAGCTGTTCCATTAAAAATAATCTATTAGAAACGGTACATCTCCGCCACGTGAATTTCAGTTTCTTCAAACTGCGGGATAAAGAGGTAGCAGATATTTCTACGCCATCAAGTCGTTGAAGATTACTGTGTAAAGAACGGAGTGTAACATTCTCACCTATAAAATCAATTCCATAAGTGCTCTCGCGAACGTCTTCATTTAAAGCAAATCTTCCCTTAGAACATAAAGAATGTTATTTACCTGTCGCATACATTGCATAAATCCGTGTCCTTATTACATGTTCATGTATTTCATGCAGCGGAGGTCCGTGAGATAAACTAATAGCCACACTTTTTTGCGATTTGTAATCGTCATCTTTTTAGCGCATTTTTGCAAAAAATTTTTTTTGTAAAAAGTAGCTTTTAATCTCACTTTGGCTGGCTGGCTGGCTGGCTGGCTGGCTGGCAGTAAATGCGCGCTCGTAGAAAAACGCTTGTAAAAAGACAAGGAGTGTACATGTAACTATCGGGGCCGTGTAATTAAGAACGTTAGGGATGGGGCTACAAGATTTGGAGTCGACGACATCTGGGCGCCATCCCCGAGCGTATTATACTAACCTGGAGATTTTTCAGTTTTTATCTATCTTCTTCTACAGTTTTTCTCCGATTGTTTTCAAATTGGTGTCGTCGGGAAGATCTTGTCAACGCGCACAACTCCTGCGTTGCGGAATTTTGTTTTTTTTTCCTAGGGGCGAAATAAACCACCTTTTGCGCGGCGCGCTTCGAGGGGTAGTCGACTTTGGGCGCCCAAAAGCTTCTTACAGCGCGAATCGCGGTCTCTCTTTCTCGTGTCACTAATAGAAGGTCGAGCTATGTGAAGTACCCAAAAGTTGAATACGATTTTATGCCGGGATTTTAGGGAAATCTACCAAAATGTGAATTACGAATGAACGGGACGTCGGAACTGTGTATCGACAAAGGGAATGTGGTAACCCCCGACGAGATCTTACTGATGGTGGAGTCGAAGCTTCAAATCCGAATTGTTGCGGGTGATCAGAAGTGGGTGTCGACAAAGGGAATATGGTAACCCCCAAAGGATTTTAATGATGGTGGAGTCAAAACTTCAAACGCGAATTGCGAGTGCACGGTAAGTGAGAAAATGGTACCGACAAAGTGAACGTGGTAGCTTCCGGCAAGATCTTATTGATGGTGGAGTCAATATTGGCTAATAAAACACTGATCTGCCACACAAAAATGCGCTGAAGTCCCTTCGATCTCACACGAGGACTTTGATCATTTTTTAACACCTCTTGTACTAATTCTTTTTACAGTCCACAACAATACACCCAGGGCAGCACAAACCCTCTGTGATTAAGTAAGCATATGATTATAGCAAACGCATAGGAAACACTTACATCATATACTGCGCTTACGGGTGTTCAAGTTTTGCCTGCTTCTTTTTCCCCTTGGAAGTACTGAATCAACTTCAAAATCAAACTTTGCTCACCTTCTGTGTATCGGTTCGTCATATTTACCTAATTGTAACGGTAATGACCTAAATTCATGATATGAGCGAATCGAACCTTTATGTAAAATTTTTAAAATACCTACTTGTCTGTTAACGGCGTTGCTGCACTGTGGACTTGCCTAAGCGTTTTCAACTTTGATGATATTTACTTCACTTTTAACACAAACTAGGTACCTAATCAAAAGGCATTTAACACTGGAAATCTGTCTATAACGAAAATCGTTTGACGGATTGATATTATTGACAGATCAATAATTGGTTTATTTGTCACGACTTACGTTAATGACGTAATTTTTTTGTCTCAATCGATTTAAATGTAATGAAGAGAGAATCACATTTATGACGTCAGGTTCAGCACCAGTGAAACAAAGTATACAGTATGATTGGTTAACGTTACAAGCAGGCATGTAGAGAGGGTGGTTTTTCTGCAGTGTACACGACGCATAAATAATATGAGGCGTTGAAAGCCAAAGTGGTACAAGTCCCAAAATTGCAGTTTTGAGATAACAGCGACCTCTATATGTTATTGGGGAAAAGTACCATGTGACAAAATTTAAAAATTCTCACTTTTAAATTAGACCTGTAGATTGCGCTAGTGAGATCTGCATAATAACGTTTTATTCAATTCGTTCAAAGGCAAAATGCTACAAATGTGACTTATACCATTTTGCCATTAAATGGAATTGCAGATATATTATTACTGCATTTTTCTTGGTGAAATGTGTTTTGTCGACATTAAAAATGAATTGTAGTGATACTGAAAGTGAGCCATTTCCTTCTAGTGAAAGTGAGTACGAACCAGAGGATTACTCATCATCAGAGCCATCAGATTCAGGTAAGTATGCGTGGTTACAAATTCAATGATTGCACTTCAAGAAATCTGAGCCGTACAAATTTTTTTATAAAGAAACGCTCAATGAAGACTATCCTTTCAATGCTATTAGTTTACTGCCAAACCGAAGAGGTGCTCCTAAAATGTTCAAGGCCATCGAGCTTTCGTCTCTGTATCAGGGCCCACTTGAAAAGAAGAAAAATATGGAAGAACTTTTTCAATTTATTCCTCCGATTCATCAAAATTACTTCAAGGATGTAATTGGAAATTGTGACGTTGAAGATCCTGGGCCCCTTGAAGAATTGGAAGAAGAAGATGATGACAGTTAGTTTCCCCATTGTTTTGGAATATACTCGTGTTTTTATTTTTCATATAAATTATGTTTTATTTCCTCTTTTGGTAATAAATTTTTAAAAACGTTTTCAATTTTATTGTGTCTCATTGCAACGTTTTTTAAAGGTATAATAACTTTTTGTTCTTATTATTACAGAGCAAAAAATCTATTATTGTGGTATACCAAAACATATATTAAAAAGTATTGAAAGTCATAGTGGTCTAAGTCACAAAAAGGTCAAAAAGGTAACAAAATTTTAAAAATCAAACTACCTTCCAATCTATATATTTTAGTTAGACCTTCACAAATAAAATTATCACAAAAAAGCGTTTATATTTATGTTCAGGATTTTTTAATTGACGTGCAACTTTAGGTTAATTTATCTAAAAACAAAGTTTTTGGACTTAGACCATGCTGCCTCTCAAAGCCTCATTTATACATCATTGCCAATCTAAACTTGAAAAAGGGGAAAGAGTGCTCTCCGAAACGTAGTTAGTTGCCTAAATAAATAAACTAAACACACACGAGTGATACCAGAAACAATGTCTAATAATAATAATAAACCTCGTGGAAATCTAAATGAAACTAAAAATATAATACATTATACATACTTAATACGACAGCTGATTTTAAATTCGTTATGTTTTATTAATGCGGGGGTAACATGTTCTCTATAAGGAATATTACAAATATATCTGATACACAAGTTCTGAATTATGTTCATGATTTGCTTATATTATAATCGCTGGTACACGAGAGAAAAGATTCGTACAGTTTCATGTTAAACTAGATTGCACTATTTAATGCTCCTTTAAGGGAGATGCAGTTCAGTGGTTTAACAAATTTTGGTGTGCAGTCCTACAGTTAGTTCCGTCGTTCGTGCGAAAACAGAACAATGTTCACAAAAAAATGTCGCCATTCACGGGAACGCCAGAAAAAAATTACTTCAATCTAGTGGCATAAAATCTCATGAAAAGGAAGAAGTAAATTATTTATAATTTTGTTAACAACAATAGTCTGTCTGTTTATAATTTCAACAACTGTACTGCTCCATTTTGGAGCATTTCGAATATATATGAGATATAATAATGAAATCGTATGTGAAACTTACGAAAACACCCATGATTTTGATTCAAAAAGAGCGCTTTTTTCTCCATACATTAATTTTTTTCCCACTATCGATCATCCACCCCTGATTGGGAGAACATGTCAATTTTCGTACATACATAAAGTGTTAAATAAGGATTATCGGGGTCTACTAAAGCAAGGGTAGAATTAATCTAATCTTTACTAGGATGAAGGAGATTGTAAACAATAGAATAAAATTCAATAAACCAACACCGATTTATGTTCCGCTTTTGCGGAAAAACAGCTTCTAAATTATTTAGACATAACCTTGTTACAACTTGTATGTCTGCTCCATTCCCTATAATTTATTAGTATATCCGTTAAATTGAAAGAAACATCGGCATAGGCCGCTACTATCATTGATTAAAACTGAAAGACTACAGTCAATTGGGAGAAGCTTATGTTCTCAACTTGTTATTGCAAGGAAGCAACAAGAGAAATTTCCCCATAATTCCATTAATCCAAATTTTCACCTTTTCACTAATCCCCTCCCTTTGTTATACATTCATAAATCAACTTTTTACTTTATTACCTCGTAATAAACGGGCTTATCTAATCTCGGTAATGGAAATGTAATTCGCCTAAATGGTATTAAAATGTCTTGTTGTGTAAATACACTCGACAGCAATTACTTTTAACGCAGAAAACGGTCTCGCTCGGATTTAAAAAAAAAGCACCATTAGTATTGTGGGATATACAAATGAGTAGTTCATTTATTGATTATTCATGCGTTTAAGGGCGGTTGGGGTTAATATTTTCTAAAATTTTAATATTAATTACATGTTAAGTTTTAAGGGTTAGGGGAAAAGGGAGTGTAAGTAATTACAAATATTATTTTTTTTAATATTTAAATACTCAAGATTTGTTCTTACTTCACGTTTAGAATTTGATGTTACTTATTACTATTCTATTCGCCGATCAAAACACATGTGCAGATACTTATCCAGAGGGTGAACAATAAATGCCCTGCAATTACAATTGGAAAACTCACACAACGGCTACACCAAAGCTTTTAATAAAATGTACAAGCTTTATTTAATTACGAGTTATTAAATTCCCTTTCGGGCATTTCATCCACAGAAATATATAAGTGATTTCATCCGACAAAAAACACCCAATTTCAAGGTATGGGTAAGTATAAAGTATTAAATAACGGAAATTTAAATTTCCGTAATGAAAACAAAAATGCTTTATTACAATACAATTTTCTAAATTAGTACTTTTTTGGGAAAGGAATTTGTGATATACGTAAAATTGCAAAAATGTATTCCCGAGCAGCAAAAAATCATCATATTCGTCCAATAAGCGAATTAATTAACAATGCGATCTGTATGAAATAATTTTACATTTTATTGTACTTGCTAACTATAATTACAAATTGCAATCCGCGTGATCAATAAGCAATTTCATATTTGCATTCTGTGTGTTATTATCGCAATGAAGACTGCTGGCGTTTAGTGGGATGTAGACGGATTACCAATTTATTTATGCAACAGTACTTAAAATTGAAAATAGCAATTAAATTATTGCTGGGATGATGGGGATTCTAAGTGCTGTATCTACCAATTGCAGATTCAAATACCAAATACCTACTATATTGATTTACGTATACGGATTCTAGTTAGGGTGTCGTTTCACGATATCTTCCCTTGTGGCTCAGGTTTATCAACTTTTTGATTGAACAATATTTTAAATTAAATATGAAAGGAATGGCTTTGTGTTGCGGTTTTCATGTAGAATTATGTTACGAACTTCATTAGAATACTAAAATGGCTATTGTACAGAAAATATGCCCGTTGGCGCTCAGAAGTTTGAGCCATCTATAAAGAGATGCTAATTGTTTAAGTTATTATTACCGTCTTTTTGAAAGAACTTTACCAATAAAAGAATTAAGCTTTTTGTTACAATTCACGCTTAAAAAACTATTTAAAATAAAGCGGTCAGTTCTGCCAGATGTCTCCACATGGTATGGAGTTAATTGAAGATATGAAAATATGGCGTCCGAGATAAACTGGGCTAGCGGGATCTAACTGAATAATATAAAATATTGTTGAGAGTTAAAAGAAGGCTCGAGAGGATAATGACGTGGCAGAAGACCAATTCGGATTTAGAAGAGGGATGAGAACAAGAGATGCGATTAGATGTGTAAGAACAATAGGTGAAACATACCTGGTAAAAGCATTTGATTGTGTTCTGTGCGTAAAATTCATGTACATTTTAAACAATGGGGTTGATGAGAATGAAAAAGATTCTATGGCGCGTCCTGTAACTTTCTGCTTACAGAAATAAAAAGTGCTTAAGTCATTTGTAAATTTAATCTAATAAAACCACCATACCGTAAGACTGAGCTTCAATTACTACTAATTTGGAGAAACCGCCCCTAAAAATTGGCATACAGGGTCATGGAAAGGGCCCACCTCTGACACTGCAAACAAGAAGCTGTACCTAGAAACGCCACTTACCGTAGGCGCCTAGATAGGGACTAGGGAGTGCTGACCTGGACATCAGTGACCGAACTGATTACCGTGGGGCAGTGCGGTATGAGGAATCTTCGGGATCTTCACTATTCTTGGTGGCCTACTAGTCAAACAACACCTGGAAACGTCGCGAAAACCAAAGACTACCTGGAACTTTGAGGTATGAGAAACATTCATCAAAAAATTGGGAAAGAAGCCACAATCGATGAAATCTTATCAAACCAACGCCCTTCACCCACCAAACCTCGACGCAGGGGTTGCGGTTGGCTGGTTGTTGTTTAGTCGCCTTGTACGACACGCAGTGCCCTCTGCGGTAGGGTTATTCTTCAACCCGCCCCTACACGGGGAAATAGTTACATAATGGAAAACTAACGAAAAAAATTTGAAGCCTAACATGAATGTACCGTTACGTAATTTTATGTTTAAATTAAACAATCCTGCAAATGCTCTATCTATCTGTATAATTAGTTATTTACATAAAAGTCAGGAAAATGGCATTACTGGCGAGGAATATTGAAGTACGAGATCCATTTTTTTCTCAAAGTTTTTTAGACAATTTTGCCTCAATTGATTTTTCACACAAAACGGAACAAATTGAAGCCTGTGTATTAGAGTTAGATTCCTATATGAATGAAGCTTCTTGTAGTAGCTAAAATGAACTCAATTAAGGATCTGTTCTATAAGGGTTACATTACAAACCACAAGCGTGCATATTGTAACGTATAATGTGAATTATGTTCCAAATATTTATACAGCTGAAACTATGACTGCAATACCAACCAGAACAGCATTAAATTCGAGGGTGTAGTTTCTCAAATGACTAAAGCCCCATTTTAGCAAGGCGTAATTAAACATTCCTAAAATGTACATAGTACAATTGAGTTCGTCTTTTGATATAATAATATTTTCCTGTATAAACGGGAAAGAACGTTAGTTCACCGTAAGAGATTTCAGCAAGAATATCATCCTCATTTCCCGAAATGGTTAATTACCTTAATTTCTTTTACAACACAATCACTTAATTGAGGTTCAAGGGTAAAATTACAATTACTGAATTCTCTGTGTATGTAATAATGAATTCAAAATGTTTCAATTAAGTAGATGCATTACGTGGTGGTAGTTTAAAGTGCGATTAATTAATATTTAATGTTTTTAAATACAAACGGTATGAGGCAACTAAAACATTCTTCTTAAGTTCTGAATGACGAAATATTTCAATAAAAATTACAGGTATGTAGAAGTTCCGGTTTAAAATGGAACAACTCGAACTCGAAAATTAGGGATTAAACTCAATCACATTTATACTGTACCAAAGTTATTAACCATTGACCCCATTTCTATACAGGGTGTTTTTTTGGGAGCTTTAGTTAAACGTTTCTGGGAAAGTAAAATACGTAGGTTTTTGAAAATTTGTACTTAGGAGTTACTCTGAAGGACGAATCTATGTAAAATATTTTCAAAAAGTCCGCACTTCCGGAAACACCGGAAGTAGATAGTAATTCCGTTATTTTAAATGGCAACCCCTATTTTTTATTGCATTTTTGGATTCTACGTGAAATTTCAGTTCTTTTGATACCATATGTCGATATCTGCCATTTATGGTTTTTAAGTTATTTTGACTTTAAGAAAAAAAATGGCGGATGCAGATGGTACCTTGATAATTGATTACTTGAAAAAGGTTATAGTCATGGCAACCCATTTTTATCAGTGCATAGAGAATGAATAGGGCTTTCTTTTAGTGTACTTAAAAAGAAGTTAAGTTGCGTACAACCGCACCTATCGAGATCCAAATTTAAGAAACTTCAAAGTCTAAAAACTCAGTTCTTTAAATGGAATGACCATGTTCTTACTATTGCATGAGATAGAGAATCGAAATTGGCATATTTTGATATTACATGTTCCTATAGCTATCTTTAACAGTTTCTGATTTATTCCCATTTCATTGAATTGATCTCGGAATTGATGCCATTTTTTTTCGCATTTTTTTTTTAGTAGTTGGCCATGATTTTATAACAATCGAATTTTAAACAAATCAAGGAATGGATTCTTTAATACCATTGATTCTAGTTCTAGTCTAAATAATTCATTAATAAATAACTCATTTATTAAGGACATAGGACGGAAAATTTTTGAAAAATCTAAACAGAGTCGTTCAACTGAATTTCTTAAACAAACAGTCTGGAAATTAAGAGAGGTAATGCGACATCTGTTTTAGCAACAATTCCATACCAAAAATGTCTCAACGAAGTTTTTTATATTTTGAATTGAATTTATTTTGTTAATCTTGCATTTGCAATTCAATTCATTTTCTTAAATATTCTCTTGTAGAGCTTTGTATCACTTGTGCTTCAACGGTTTGTAGTGCATTTGCGGGTACAACATTTCAAAATTCATACAATTTCGTTCCAGTTTTCGAATGAATGTACGGAAAGCACACGCCGCGATTCTGCCCATTTTACCATAAATAACAATTAAATTCCAAAATAGGTGAAACCACTGCGAGTCATTTTTCGATTTTTGAAAAACTTATGTTAACCTCTAATAGTGGGTGATGGATTAGTGTCACTAGATTTGTTTAAAATTCAATTGTTTTGTTATAGAATCATGGCCGACTACTAAAAAGAAAATCCGAAAAAAATAGTGTCAATTCAATAAAATGGGAATAAGTCAGAAACTGTTAAAGATAGCTATAGGAACATATATTGTCAAAATATGCCCATTTCGATTCTCTATCTCATGGAATAGTAAGAACATGGTCATTCCATTTAAAAAAACTGAGTTTTTAGTCTTTGAAGTTTCATAAATTTGGATATCCACAGGGGCGGTCGTACGCAACTTAACTTTTTTTTAAGTGCACCAAAAGAAAGCCCTATTCACTCTCTATGCACTGATAAAAATAGGTTGTTATGACTACAACCGTTTTCAAGTAATCAATTATCAAGGTACCATCTGCATCCGCCATTTTTTTTCTTAAAGTCAAAATAACTTAAAAACTATAAATGGTAGATATTGACATATGGGTATCAAAAGAAGTGAAATTTCACGTAGAATCCAAAAATGTAATAAAAAATAGGGGTTGCCATTTAAAATAACGAAGTGACTATCTACTTCCGGTGTTTCCGAGAGTGCGGCCATTTTGAAAATATTTTACATCGATTCGGCCTTCAGAGTAACTCCTAAGTACAAATTTTCAAAAACCTACCTATTTTACTTTCCCAAAAACTTTTAACTAAAGCTCCAAAAAAACACCCTGTATTTCAGCTCCATAATTTACAGTTCAACGTGCAATGCATAGGTGCCAATGATTATTAAAATTCGCACTTATACGCAATTATAACTTGAAACATAAAACTAGATCCTGAATCCAAAACATAACCTGCCCTTCCATACCCCCTAGACCCCCAGGTGCTTCGTTAACTCGCAAAACGTTAATCCCTGAGAACTTTTGTGATACCCGTTTTGGGTAAATACACGGAACCGATAGGTCTGGAATACCCCCCAGCAAAGAAAAATTTGAGGATCCTTTGTCTACAATTAACATAAATTTATTAAGTACTCATGAAGATGTCTGTGTATACTGGGGGGTATTTTATACTCCCCCCTCCCTCAAACCCCCCGTTGCTACGTTCACTCGCATAACGTTAACAATTGGGAGTTCTTGTAATTATTAAAAAAATTACCATACTTTCTAGTTTTTGGAAAAATGCAAAATCGGAGTATGGAATACCCCCCCCCAAAAAAAAAATTGGATTTCCTTTCTCTACAATCATATCATGAATCCCAGGAAATGAAAGACTCGGTGTTTCTTCTCCCATAACTATCATAAGATTTTTGAGCACTAGAGGCAATTGTTAGGGCCCAGACCCCCCGGTGCTACTTTCACCCAGAAAAGGTTCATCCCTAACGACTGACATTCCCCTGCAAAACGTTAACCCCTCTCGTGACACTTGTGGTCGTCAAAGTATGCGTATTTTGTTCACAGTTTCTGTAGGTATCCTCAATGGTTGCTAATTAATTTTACTTGGATTTGTATGGACCTTGTGTCAATCCGGTTTACTCATTTTTAGATTCATTATGTTTTAGTTACGTATGATGAAATTGACAGAATTGCAAAAGTTTCTGTCAAAGGAAACAAAGCCGTAAAATAAGAAGTAGAAAGTTGTGCAGAGAATTTTATATTTCACAGAGATAACTCGAGGATTTAAACACCAAATAGGACTTAGCGTGGCAAAAACCTTAGAAAACACTATAAGAAAGTAGTTATGAAAAAATCGACAAGAACTTTCTCCGGGTAGTTTAAGGAAATCGGAAATGATATTAATGCATGCTTATAGTGAATAAACAATTTTTGTTACAAACAAAACAACGCAAAGTTAAAAGAGGGTTTTATTTGATATCAATCTCTCTTAAATCCGTCGAACGATTTTTTGTATTAGGAATCAAACTCTACGCGCCGATATTGTTTATGGAGCTAAAGCGATCGAAGTTGGATCAGGTTAGATAAACTTTCCTCTGACGTGACCCCATGTGCCATTAGAATTTTCTTAACTTAAGGGGTGAAATGTAAGAAATCATACGTTAAATTTAATCTCTTTAAATGAAATCTGATGACAAAAGCGATGAACAAAAGCCCGTATCGACGTTTTGAATGACAGTCAATGTATCAAGCTGCCAATTAACAGAAAGGTTATCTTGCATGAGGTTTACAAAGCCGTCACAACTTGTCTGTATGTGTCGAGCTTTTCTCCCTTCCAGCCATTGTGGCAGGACGCTACAAACAAAGCGAAAAGTGTAATTTCATTTTTACAAATAAAACCATTTATCGCTCAGAATTATATTCTATATTTACAACGCTATCTAGAAGTTCTGGAATGTAACGGAAGCGAAATCCTGAATCTATTTAGATATAGATATTACTTTAAAGTCACGTCCTGACGTTAGATTCTGTCGGATGGCCAATTTCTCTGGACCGAAATGAGGAAATTGTTTACGGTTAAACTATGAATTACATACTAGCTGTGCACCGGTACATTAGTTGTTCCGAGCCGGGAGCGATTCAGTGAGATATGAATGCACGCGTTGTTACGGAAAATGAGTTCAATTCGCTTACCTATCTGTATAGATTGGCTACCGGATGCCCATAATACGCTTTTATCTCTTTCCGCCGAATCACGAAATGTAATATTGGATACTTCCCTTAAATGGCACATTTTACCTACAAGCGCGCTTAAAAACACATACAAAATTTATGAATCCCCCAAAGTACCGAACGTAAAATTTTATGAATTTCGCTTTACTTACGAGTTTCCTCTGTTTCAGACAATTGCCACAAAATGGATTACGAGGATCACGTCTTTAAGGAGGTGAAAAACGCGTCCGCTCCCATTCCCGAATCCGAAGTGGATATAACGCAAGATTGTTTAGATATACTTCTCACCATTGTCGGATTACTGGGAATCATAACCGAGATATTTCTAATCTACATCATCTGCTACTACAGAAAACTGCACACCACCATCAACATTTACCTCATAAACTGGTCCATAGCTAATATAGGGGCCATTGTTATGACGATAAGTTGTTTTCCTATCTACTCGACCTTTAAAAACCTATCCTTGATGGTGATGTGCTTTTATCTCAGCATTCCCTTCGCGTTGTACTTCAACGTAATCTTTTTCATGATCATGTTAACACTGGATTGGTGGTTCTCGGCGTTTTGGCCGAATCCCTTGCAGAAATTTCGCGAGTACACTAAGTATATAATCGCGACAATTTGGGCGCTTTCGGCCATGTATTTCGTAACATCCGCCAGCCTCTGCTCGTTATCCACGTACTACTTAATATTCCATTACACCCTCCCGGTCCTGTTTACAATACTAATTGTCCTAGTCGCAGGCCTCCATGTGATCAGGATAATAAAAAAGCACAAAACGGGATTCGAATATTATTCCGTAAATTTGCTGTACATTCCTACAGGATTCGTCTGCTGCTGGTTTATGAATTGGATTAATATATTCATTCAGTATTATTCGTACGCCTATTATACCTTATCGGATTTAATTTTGTTTATGCACCCCATTTTAAATTTCGTGTTGTTGGTGATGTATGATGCCGATTTTAAAGCGTGCTTTTTCAAAATAATTGAGGGTTTCCCGTGCTTTTGTTTTAAATATCATAGAAGCAACGAAAGCTTCAATAACGCTAATGCGGCAATACCCGAACCAAGTGCGCTCGTTGATAATGGTGAAAGGTACTTTTAAAAGTGGGTACTTAACATTTACCTGAATTTGTACATAATACCTCCCCGAGTAATTTAGGCACTCTGTATCAAATTAATGTTTTAATAAACGAACATATTATAGTGATATTTTTCATTATCTTTAATTGGTCTGTTTGCTTTCTATTTGGTAGCGATCAATACCGACATTTGTTTATGTATCCACAAGTTTTAAAATCGATTAAAACCCCCTATAGGGACATTTATTCAGGTTTATTCTCGTGCCACTTGTTAAGCGTTTTGTTTGTCAACTGAGCAAATTTGCTACGTCTAACAAAAATTGGTATTCTGGTAGCCGTTTTGTTTGGTTAGCGTAACAAGATGCCTAGCAAAATTGCTACGATTCTTACGCCATTTCTGAATTGGCGTTAGCACTTTGTTAACGTGAAATAAATCACACTACGGCTACAGATCACGATATTTTACAGATTATTTCTTGCATGTAATAAAAGAATTAGAATTGATATGGTTACATGTCCATACTTCAACAATTAATTCGCAAACGTCAAAATCTTACCGCGGTTAAAAATGTGTTAAAATTGTATCGCTTCTGATTTTCCCTATTAAGGTACTTAGACGACCACAAACTTGCGGTTGCTTAGATACGAAAAGTCGAAACTGTCTTGCCAATGTGCTAATTTCGAATGCACTTCTCTTCCGCGATGTCCAGTTTTGGTGCAAATTGTTTCGCGAATACTAAAACCGCTGTGAATATATTTATTCTGGAAATAACCATGCCGAATATCCCGTGTGCTTAAAAATGGCTGATTAAATTTTGTGATTTTTCGTCAAATTGTTTTGCTACGAAGAAATACTCCAAGTCAATTTTTCACCCAAAATTTTATGATATTACTGCTGATTCAAATGCTCATGAGTCACGAGTCATGGATAGGGACGAAGGTATAAGCACCAATCTCTATGTACCATCGAGATTATTGAGGTCCAAGGCGAGTGCTTCCTACAAATCATTTTTGGAAGGAACATCTTTCTTAATATTTGCCTCAAACAGCCGCCTTTTTTTCTGCAGAAAAGCAGATATTCCTGATATTGCACGCGAGTTGTTTTATCTTGAATTAAAAAATGAAAGTCCGAAAAGAACAAGTTAATAAAATAAAATAAACTCATAAAACATATCAAACGAGATAAGAGTAGATAAGCGTGAAGAATAATAGTAACGATAACTAAAAAATATAAAAATTTACAAAAATGTTTTAGGCGAATTCAACTATTTCGGCTCCAAATTGCAGCTACTATGTCGTGGAGAACAGCAGTTAGTTAATTTATTCAGGGCTGCTGCCATTTCTTGGAGTTCTTTCAAAAAGAAAATGTTTTTCGAACTATTTGTGCGTATTTTCGGAATATACGGACAAGAAACGGCTACATTCATGCGGTATGGCGTAGCAAAACCGTAGCCACGCCCTTACTTGTTAACTCGCTTCTAGCAAAGTGCCACCAGAATTGCAAACAAACAAAACGACTTAACAATTTGTTAAACGCGACTTAACAAATTCGTTAAACGTAGCAAATTTGCTAAAATAACAATGCCACGAGAATAAGACTGATTATGCCTTATAGTTCAAATGACTTTGACTTTCATCTTATGCGCCCCCTAATTGGTCGTGCTGCTGACGAAGAAGAGAAGCTTTCACATAGATCAACTGTGATGCTGAATCCCTAGAAAGTACAGAACTAGCGGAGACGCTGAAATTTGCACGGATATTGCTAGCTGCTTAGAGTGGTGCGACCCGCCCCACGCCCCTGGGAATCACAAACATTATGTACCAATATTATTTGGTAATGATTCCACCATCATACTAATTAACGGTAAAAGATACAAGAAAATCGCATTTCGAAAGTATAATAGTATAAAGTATAATAACCTACGTTTTGGTAATATTTTTGGTATAACATTTAAAAGATTTATTCGAATAGATAACGAATACAAAACTGCCGTGGAACACATTTCCATTAGTAATTATGGTAACAGAAACACCCTTTATTTTGAGAGAAAAAAATAGACCTAGGTCTCAGAAGCTCAATTTTAAAAAGAAACTCACTAGCACAAACAAATTTGGTAACTCGAAGTCCATTATGTCCTCAAAGTGGGAAGTTAGTTTATGGGGTTAGAACAAACCAAAAGGACTCAAAACCTCTCCCATGCAATTTAATTGAGTGTAAAAAGAGGGGGGGGGGAGGACACTACATGTTTCGACTTACGTCATAATCAGGTGTACTCTACAAGGTGTAATGGTAAGAATTGAGGAGAGCATATATAAAATTACCTTACAGTGGCATGGCGTGCACGAACTGTCTACATACATTCGTAAAATTCATAAAACACCCCCAAAGAGCGGGGGAGTAAAACAAACGAGTGCCTACTCAACAGATCACCGATACAAAAGTTGTTGAAGAGGATAATGAATTAATTTCTAAACAGGTAAAAGTTGAACCTAAAAACTAAAACAGAATTCGGCTATCGCTAACTGTTTGGCCGATAAGGAACGTTTCTCGAATTTACTCGATTTCTTTAATGCATCATAACTTTCTTATTAAGATAATTGATTTTGACAAAATTTTCTTAAGGCACTTTTTTGTGTAGAATCCATCGCGATGAAAGACTGTAAAATTTCCTAAATTTTGATGTATCACTTGTTATATTTATATTAAGTATTATTTGCAATATTGCTGTTTATACATGAAAATATTTTTACTGCAGACATCTAGGTTTCAATGGCGAACGAAAGATGGCAAGATTGTTTAAAATGACTGGGTTATTTGAAAATTTTTATTACTTCCAAGTATTTTTAAATTCAAATAACATACAAAAAACAAAGGAGGTGAATAAAACAAATAAGTCATACAACATAGAAATAAATAATGCAGATAACCCAGAAATTGTCGTTTTTACAATCCTGCCATCTTTTGTTTACCACGGAGACCTAGATGTCTGCAATAAAAATATTTTAATGCATAAAATGCAATATAAAAAATAATATTTAATATACATTTAATAAGTGATAGATCAAAATTTAGGAAATTCTACACTCTTTTAAAAAAAACTCCAAAATGGGTAGGGTGGTCCATATGAAAATGTAGTCGTATAAGAAAAACCAAACACCCTGTATAAAAACTGTGTATCGTGATATATTCTACTGTACATACAAAAGTGTCCTAAGAAAGATTTTGCCAATTAAAGAAATCGACTAAATTCGAGAAACACCCCCTTGCGGTCAAAGCATTAGAGGCACCTAGGTCTATTTTTTTCTCTCTCTTAAAATAAAGAGCCACCTAATTACCTTCCTCCCGTTTTGATTCCGATGAACCAAAACATTCTCTACAGACGTCGCAACATTATTTCCGATGGAAGGGACATTGGCCCGTATGAATAAAAGTAAGCAAATGCTTATACTTGCAAAATTCAAAGTAAATACTCGTAAGTGTCCCTTTATACTGGTTTGTTTAGCAGCGCTGCACTGCGTCCTGTCCTTCTGCTTAGAAACGCTGCTAAGTCGCCCAGTGCGAAGGAGCACTTACGAGTATTTACTTTGAATTTTGCAAGTATAAGCATTTGCTTACTTTTATTCATACGGGCCATTGTGTAGTAAACGGTGGTGTAGCTTTTACATCCTTCTATACCCATTCTCGCTTTTTCTTACATCGACTTGACCTGTGTTCAGTTTCAGTCCGAGGAATCCGTGAAACCACCAGATTTTGTAGACTCGGGAAAATTATTGAAGAAATAAGTAGGCCAATGTTTAGGGTTTCCAGAAAATGCAGGCAACTCTTTGAACAAGGTAATCTTTCCAGTTGCTTTGAGTGAGGATCGGATCGTTTAGGTTTAGGCACAATCGGGTTCGTGCCGATGGTGGATTTTTACGGCGTGCAAGTTCGTTCTTCGACGGATGGAGTAACGCGGAAACCACCTAATCATTGGCACTTGGTCTCTTAACTTAGATAAGCGATTCTTCCATGTATCCCTCTGAAATCCAGTTGTTTGTTTCTATGTTTTGGTACACCATAAAGCCTATTCTGTTCCTTTACTGCCGTGCTTGAGTGTAGCCTGATCTACCTCTTTTTCCTTCACCTTTCCTTCTTACCTCCCGTATTGCTAGGATTCCTATGATATAATTTTTTGGCGTTTTCTTGTATCGGGAACAAGCATGGTTCTTATGTTCCACTTACCTATTTAGTCCAGTCAAATTAGCTCTAAAAGTAGTATAAACTGGATGTTATTTCACTGAACGAAACCAAGCGTATTCTATGTAAAAAAATTCGCAGAATCGGAAAATCATAGTCCCCCCGGCCGGAAACGCCGGGAACATATTGTTATAAACAAAAAACGAAGAAAAAATGGGAAAATGTCGTGTTTTTTCACATTTGACTGCCAATATCTCGTTAACTATTGCTCTGAGGGAAAAAATGAATAGAAATGAACTTGTTTAGAATAAAATTTTCTATAAGATACGGAACGCTTATTTTCAACTGTTGTTGTTTTTTAGGGAAACATGTAAAAACAGTAATCTCTAAAATTAACACTTTCTTATTGTTAAAAAATTCATTCGATCTTTTTGAAAATCCGTATTTAGTAACTACTTTTGATAACAAAACAATATGACAAACCAGATCACCGTAGGTTTCATACTCATTGATTAATTAGATAAACATGTAGAAAAAGATATGCTTTGTCTTTCAAACTGGGGGAGTACAAGAGTGTTCTCAATTTTTTTATACATATTATAACCCTAAAACAATCTTTTCGAATAATTGTCCCGATGATTCCTGCAAATCGACGGACTGTGCAATTTTTTTTTCAAAATCCGAAGAATTTTCTTAGTTAACAAATAGAATACCTCCCGAAATATAACAAAAAAAAGTATAACTGTATAATAGGCGAATGTAAAGCTCTCAGAAAGCCGTACATTAACAAAAAATACGTCCAAATCCGATTAATAGTTCACGAGAAATCAGCTTTTGACTTTGAAGCCAGTTTTCGAAACAACCAAAAATGATTTTGCAAATGGGGTCGCACCGATCGATTCTTTACAGCGTAAACTTTTTTTATGCTTCTATTTCATCAAATGAATGATTTT